CTGCCCGCGGTCGGCCTCGCTGTCCCCTGCCGCCCGGGCCCGGGCCCCGGGGGGTGCGGGGGCTGCGGGCCGGGCTGAGGGAGAAGGGAAGCCCTGGGGGCTTTGCCCAGGCTGGGGGGAGCCTCTGGGCCTGATCTGTGTGTGGGGCGGAGGGAAAGGATGCTGAGGGCTGGGAGGAGAGTACCAATGCATCTGAAAGGTCAGCAAAACTCGGTATGAGGTTCAGTCCTATTCTTGTCAGAGTCGTGGTAGTTTCGAGTCCCAGATCTTTTGCCCTATGTGGCCACATGTCCCAGTGCCTGTGTTTCTGACCCATCTTCGCCCCAGACAGACACTCACCTTTTCCAGATACACTAGGACATGGTTGGTACTCAACTCTGTGCGCTCAATAACAGGGTGGCCTTCCAGCTGAAGAAAGAAGACCAAGACGTCACTGCATTAAAGGTGGTCTCCCTGTGCCCCTTACACAGCCCTAAGGATGGGACGTACTGTGGATGAAACACTGGGGTACCCAGGGAACTAAGTCTGCAGCACAGAACTGCCTCCTTGGTGTGACCCTAGGTATGATGGCCCCCAGGCCTTCGCTTTATCGGCCTGGCTAATGAAGGACAGGCCAGCTCCAGCAGAGACTGAGCACTGGTTCAAGCACTTTGATGGAACGATTCAATGAAAATACATTCCTTCTGGCTTGCTAGTTCTGCAGCGTCTTATGATTGCCTTTATTTTCCAGACCATGCATCCGCTCAGCATCTCAAACAGTGACCTAAGGCCTAAACAGTTACAATGCTATAAGGTGGTGTCAGATGAGCAGAGAGAAAAAGGAAACAGCACTACTTTTGAATGTCCTCTGCACAGATGAAGCATTTAGGGAGCTATCAGGACACAATGATAATAAAGGCGCCCATCACCAGTCTAATGAAACAATTAAGTAGTCTATTTTTCCCAGATTCATCACATTGTCCCCCCTTGTGCTGGCCTTGATCCAAGTATGAAAAAAGAACACTGTACACAGCAAATGTGTAGATGACAATGGAAAGATCAAGCCAATTTCAACCCTGAAGCCCTGTAGATTGTTACAGACATTTGGAAGGTGTTTTGGACGTAAGAAGCTGGCCGTTGTTTGAAAAACAGGGTCCTACCTTCCTCACAGAGGACTTCACAGGGATGAATCCCGACAGCATCTTCACATCAACAATCACCATGTTGGAGCCATTGCGCTCCCCAGTGTAACTAAGGAACCAACCAACAAAGATTCAGTGCACTTCAAGTCAAAGTTGTGGGCACTTCCACCTTCTCCATAAAGCTTGGCACTTCACCACATCCTGGCAGTCCAGCACCTTCTTCTCCAGCTATGCCAGGGTCTTCCAGTCATCTATGCAGCCTCCCATTAGCCCAGCCCTGGGCAGCCCACACAGTTCCATCACTGCAGGACTTCTCCTTCCTCCACAGCCTCTCCTCCCAGCCCTGCCCACTTTTCCAGGGAACGCACTGCCCTTCCAGGGCTTCCAGACTGGCTCACCCTGGACCACCAGACCTCCCCTAGCTCCCAGCTCCAGCCTTCTCAGGAAGGCTCAGAGCCAAAAGCAGACTCACCTGACATTTATGCCTATGTCAAAGACCCTGTGAGCCTTGGGGTCTGCACATGTCTCTGGCATCGTGTACACATGGAGCATGAAGGGTGCATCCTCCTGCGTGGGCTGCACGTTGTACCTCAGGCTTGTCTAGGGGAGAGCCAGCAGCTCTGGGTGAGGGTGTGTGCACGCGTGCTCAATCCATGAGAGAGACCATCCTCTCCCTATCCAGCCTCCCCACTTCTCCCATTCTCATAGCTCCTCCACGCTGCTGGATCCTTCCCTCCTTTCCTCCCACTCTTTCTCCTCCATGTGGCTCTGCTCTTCTTCTCCTCTTCCCTCTCCCAGAGCCTTCCCTCCCACTCTTCCCCTCTCCGCTGTCCCTTCTGCCCTCTCCCTGGCTCTGGCCCGGCAAGGGGCTCCCTTCCCAGGGTGCCCCCTGCCCCCATCACCCTCACCTGCAGGTAGACGCATCCTTCGCCAGACACCTCCGTGCTGTACTCCCCTGGCACCTGGGGCAGGGGCACGCGCTGGAGCAGCAGCCGGCT